AAGGGGGGGGGAGGAGGTGGGGGGGGGGGGGGAGGTGGGGGGGGGGGGTAGGTGAGAGGCGGGGGGAGGTGAGAGGCAGGAGGGGGTGAGAGGCAGGGGGAGGTGAGAGGCGGGAGGAGGCCCCGGGCTGGAGGCTCTGACCTGCAGCAATGCTGGTGCTCCTCTGCACCCACTGCCGAGAGCAGGCCTGCCTGCGGTCACGCGCCATGGGGTTTATTTCTGTGGCGTTTCTAATAAAGGCAGGTGGGTTGAGGCAGAACAGCGGAGGGGTGCCTGGGGCGGCCAGGGTAGGGAACGACAGCAAATGGACACCTTGCTGCCGTCGGGCAGGGGAGCGGCACACAGCTGTGCCAGGCACTGAAACCGGTGAGTTTCATAGTGCATAATTATACCACGCTAAAGTTGCTTGTGAAAAAGAAATTTAGACTGGACAGCCCTGCCGGGTCCCTCCTGCCTGCGCTTCCTGCACTCAGGGGCCTCCTGTGGTTGGTGGAACGGGGCGGGGAGGGGCGCCTCTGCCTGGCTCCAGCTGGCTTGGAAATGGCTCCCTCTATCCAGCTCTTCTCCCAGCGGCCACGGGAGAAGCAGCGCTAGGTCCTGAAGCGCCTAATGCCCGCAAAATTTGGGGGGCTCCCCAAAAGAAAATCGTGTGATTAAAATCAGCAAATATCGACCTTTAACCGTATGAACACCTAAACTTCACTAACCGTGGAAATGGTATTCAAAAGCCCTCGTTACACGGAGAAGCCTCAGCAGCAGGAGACAGGCCAGCCCGTCCAAAACAGAAGCCTCCCCGGTGGCCTCACAAGTTCAAAAACGGTTACAACAACCCTTCCAATGTTTACGGAAGTCATGGTATCACAGGTGGCCCCCCGGGGTGTTCTGTGCGTCGGATGGGAGAGAACGCAGGCAGCCCCTGGTGTTCCCAGCTCCTGCCTCGGAAGTGAAATCTCATGGCCCGGCAGACTCTGGCAGCTGGGACCGAAGAGCCGGACGCCAGGCGGGGCAGACAGCCGGAGCTGGGCCTCCCGGCTGAAGCTCGGCATCCACGCCCTCCACAGGCCAAGGGCCCAGGGCAGCCAGACTCTCGGGTGCCAGCAAGGGCTGCCCTCTCCCTGCCTCGGCCTCGGCAACAGACCTACCTCCGAGAGGAAGGAGTTGATGTCGCAGGTCTGGAACACCAGCTGCGCGTAGGCCGCGGGGTTGGTGTCATTGCATAGCCGCTGCATCTCTGTGAAGTTCTCCTGGGTCACACTGCCTTCCGCCAGGTCGAACCCGTTCATAAGGGTCAGGATGTTCCTGCAGGCAAGATCAAGGCTGATGGCTAGCCGGGGCCAGGGAGGCTGGGAGGCTTCCTGGAGGCGCAGCCCGGGCGCCAGGACGGCGGACTGAAGCAGGGACCGCGACTCACGTGTCGAAGCAGTCATCATAGCGCTGTGTGGCGCGGAAGCCAATGATGGAGTAGACCACGGTGGCCGCGTACACCGACGTGAAGCCGTTGATGATGGACACGATCACCGAATCCATCTGGCAGTTGTTGCTGTGGATGAGAGCAGCATCATGGCGCCGGCGATGGGGACCCAGGTCAGGACACAGCTCGGGGCAGAACCTGTGTCTCGTCCAGAGCACGCGCCCAGGAGAGAGAGGCTGAGCCACTGAGCAAGGCAGGGAGGCAGCCGGAGCCCCAGCTGCACTCAGAGCAGGCTCAGGGGCTGCAGAGGTGGCCCCAGGGCAGTGCCTGATCCCCTGCTGACCCGGCCTCAGCTTAGGGGCTGCTCAGGGCTCTGACTGCTCCTGATTCCCCAGATCACTCTGGTTATACAGCTCAGGTCTCTTCCCTGCGCTCATGCCTGTGGTCAGCTCCAGGCCCAAGACCTCACACCCATTCTCCCCCAGCCCCCACCCTAGGCGTCCTGTCTGACTGCTCGGCAGCTGGGGCCTCACCATTTCCTAAACGCACCCGGCACTCAGCATGTCCTGCACTCAAGCCCCAACCTCCCTGACCTAACCCAGCGAGCTGGCTCCACCCTTCCAGTCTCAGCTGATGCTGACAACATCCTTCCAGATGCTTCCATCAAAGGCCGAATATGTTAGCCTCACGGAAATGCCAATCAAACTGCAGTGAAACCTCACCGCACACCTGCTGGGCGGGCCAGAAACAAAAGTCAGACAATAGCAAGTGTTGGTGGGGAAACTGGAGTTTCCTCCACACGGGTGGGAACGTGAGTGGTGCGGCCGCTGGGGAAAGCATCCTGACAGCTCCTGGAAGAACTGCACACGGAGTCCCGCAGGACACAGCAGCTCACTCGGAGGTGCACGCGCAGGAGAATAAAACCCTGCGTCCACAGAAACTCGCACACTGGGGCTCACAGCAGCATGATTCACAACAGCCAAAACACGGACAACGTCCACGGACAGATGATGCAGGAACCGTGGTCTGTGCATACCATTGAGTATTGCGCAGCCCTAAACAGGAATGGCGCCCTGATGCCAGCTGTGATGGGCAGAGCCTTGAGGATATCGTGTCCCAGGCAGGGATCAGATTAGGGCTGTGGTGACCACCCCATTTGCAGGAAACGTCCTGACCAGGCAGAGCCACAGAGGCAGAGAGAGCATCAGTGCTCCCCCCGGGCAGGAGGGCAGGGCACTGGGGAGCCGCTGCTCACATATGCGGGGCTTTTGCTCTGATTGGAATGTTCTAGAACTGGACAGTGGTGATGGCTGGCTTCGCAGCTCTGTGAATGTACTTAAGACCACTGGGGGCCGGGCAAGGTGGCTCAAGCCTGTAATCCCAGCACTTTGGGAGGCCGAGGCGGGTGGATCGCAAGGTCAAGAGATCAAGACCATCCTGGTCAACATGGTGAAACTCCGTCTCTACTAAAAATACAAAACATTAGCTGGGCATGGTGGCGCATGCCTGTAATCCCAGCTACTCAGGAGGCTGAGGCAGGAGAATTGCCTGAACCCAGGAGGCGGAGGTTGCGGTGAGCCCACATCCCGCCATTCCACTCAAGCCAAAAAAACCATCCTCTTCCTCTAAAAAAAAAAAAAAAAAAAAAAAAGACCACTGGGCCGTGCACTCCAAATGGGAGGATTGTGTGGTATGCAAGTGATCTGAATAAAGCTGTTATAAAATAATTCACCCTCAGTTCCACCTCAGCCACTCCACAAAAAAGAGCCGCCCTGCTCCAGCTGCCTGCAGTGCCCAGGGCTCTCCTAGCACCTGCCCTCTGCACCTGGGGAAGCCCCTGAGGCCTGGGTGGGCTTCACTGCTCCACCCAGTGCTGGCATAGTGACTCCAGAGTCCTTCCTGTCCCTCCAACACTCTCTCTGCCCCCACCCCCATCTTGCACCTACCTCCAAGCACACCTCCGTCTGCTTCCCAGCCTTCCTGCCTGGGCGCTACACCTGCCAAGCCCCAGCCATGCCCTCCACACCCCGGCCCCGCCCTCCACACCCAGGCCCCGCCCTCCACATCCAGGCCCCACCCTCCCTACCTCAGCCCGCCCTCCATATCCAGGCCCCGCCCTCCACACCCAGGCCCCACCCTCCCTACCCCGGCCCCGCCCTCCATACCCAGGCCCCACCCTCCCTACCCC